CTGTATGAGTTTGTTTGATAAAAATGTTTAATTAATTTTCTACGGAATATTATCTACAGAAATTTTCGTAGATAACTTATCTACGGATATTTCCGTAGATAACTTATCTACATATATTTCCCTCCCAAGCGCGCCCCAACCATTTGATTTTCTCTATTAGACTCTGAAGCGTGTCCGTGACGGACAAAAAAATTAGGGCACTTAAGGTTTTTCTGTTTCATTTTCTCTCCGCTGCCGCACTTAAGGTTCCTCCATTTCATTTTCTCTATTCTCTCTGCTGCCGCACTTAAGGTTCCTAGGCAACGCTTCCGCTTGGGCCGCTGCACCAGCCGTTGTCCCCTTTTGTCTCCCTAGATTTGAAGGCATTCTCCGTCGAGCTTGCCCTCTCCTTCATCCTCCTCTCGTCACTACTTCTTGTCGCAGCAAACTTCTCGGAGTTGATGTCGTGCAAGGAGTCAAAGCAAAAAAAGTGTGAGTTGGGTGTTGAGAAAGAGGGAAAGCTTTGATTTTTTCTGTTAGGCTAATTTTATGTACATTTAAAAACTTTTCTTTTACTTTTTTGTTTGTTATTGTTAATGTTCTTACTATTATTGTTGTGCAGATGGTACATAACCTTTGAGATCTTGTCACTCAAATGTTCCTGCACTTCGTCACTCTCCGCCAGGTACTCTATTTCGCAACTCTTATTCTCTAGTCTAGGGTTTATGACTCTCTTCGTTTGTTTTCAGGCATATCTTGCTTGAGGAAGACAGAGTGAAAACCGAAACGGAGCGTGCCAAGGCTCCCATGGATTTCACATCGCTGCAGCTTCACAACCTTATGTACGAGAAAAGCCACTACGTGAAGGCAATCAAGGCTTGCAAAGACTTCAAGTCCAAATATCCCGACATTGACCTCGTTCCCGTGGAGGAGTTTTTCCGCGACGCTCCACAGGATATCAAGGACTCCGTTTTGTCAAGTGACGCTGCGCACAATCTCATGCTCAGGAGGCTCAATTTTGAGTTATTCAAGGTGACTCTGCGATACTCTGTTGCGAAAATCCTAACCTAGCGAGTGTGCTTCACAATTTGCAATTAGGTGGATTGAACAAATGAAATTGATGGAAGTGACATAAGTGTGCATTATAATTATATGTTTTTATTGTAGTGGATTCAATTGCATTAGTTTATTTAGCGTGCCTCTGTCCTCAATATAAATTTTGTATTGATAAGCTAGAAGCAAGGTTTTAAATTGCAGTCATAATTTTGTGTCTATCTTGTATTCTTTTCTGACTTGTATGAATAAATTTACAGAGCATGTCTTTTGACATTTTTGATACTATATGTAAGACTGCTGATCATATTAAATGGGTTGGTTCTTTTTACACAAAGCAAGACTTCAT